CACGAGGAGTTTGATTATGTTTCTTCGAGCATTTTGGGTCTGTTAAGTTCCTTCTTGTGAGACAGCTGCCCAGGAAGTGACGCCAGACATCCGATTTCAGTCGTTTCAGTGGAATTGGATAGATTCACGTGGGCGTTGGCCTCAGGTCAAGGCATCAACCAAGCATGTCCTTTGTTTTTTTCATATCAATCACTTTGTCTTACTCAAGGTAAAATCGCCAAGGCCTTCGACTCGGTCGCGTGGCCTTTTTTTTGCTCGAGGTGCGGGAGCGCTTGGGCTTCCCTAGGAGGTGGAGGGACTGGATCACAACTATTCTCTCATCCGCGAGCACAAAGGTGCTTGTCAATGGCCGCATGGGTCGGCGCATTTGCCATGCTAGGGGTTTGCGGTAGGGTGACCCGCTCTCCCCCGTTGTTGTTCGTGCTGGTGATGGAGGTCCTCAATGCCATGATACTAGAAGCTGACCGACAGCGGGTTGTTGTTGACTCTCCCCGGTGACCACTTTGGTCATCGGATGTCGCTTTACGCCGATGACCTGGTTCTCTTCCTCGTCCCCAAGCAGGAAGATTTCAGCTGCATTCGCGCCATCCTTGACTTGTTTGCTGGTGCCTCTGGTTTGCTCACTAATGTGGACAAATACCTAATCTCACTAATCCAGTGCACTCAGGAGGACGTTGCTCTTGTACAATAGGTGTTCCCTTGCCAGGTCTCGCCCTTCCCGTGTTGCTACTTGGGAGCTCCACTTTATGTGGTCAGACTGCAGCGCTCTGAGGAGCAACAGCTTGTGGATGCCATCGCTGGGCGCATCCCAACCTAGAAGGCAGGGCTGCTCAACACGGTAGGTAGGCTCACTCTCGCCCATGCGATCGCTGTCGGCTATCCTAGTCCATGTCTCCATCACGTGCTGTCTTTTGGCTTGGGCGATCAAGCAGATCGACAGGAGTCGTTGAGCTTTTCTGTGGTGTGGAAAGGCAACCGCAACCGGGGAAGTGCAAGGTGGCTTGGCCGATTGTGTGCTCCCCAAAATGCTATGGTGGCTTGGGAATGCCGGACATCAGGATCCTCGGGTTTGCACTCCACCTACGTTGGCAATGGTAAAAGAGGGCTGCCGATGCGCCAGCTTGGACAAAGCTTCCCTCCAAGCCGGAGAAACTGGTAAGTGCCATGTTCAGTTGCTCCATTGTGGTGGAGCTCGGCGATGGGGTCTCCGCATGGTTTTGGTCCAACTCTTGGCTGCCGGAAGGACCAATTGCGTCCTTCGCGCCTCACTTGTTACAAGCGATCGGTCGCTGTTTCCTCAAGGTGTCCGTCAAGGAGGCGCTCTCTGGACATCGTTGGGTGCGCCATATCACCGGGCGCATACTGCGCCGGTGCTGTGCGACTATGTCGAACTCTGGGCGAAGCTTGAGGAGGTCCATCTTCGGCCGTTGGTGAGTGATCGGTTCGTCTGGCGTTGGACGCCTGACTACTCCTACTCGACATCCTCGCCTTATCGCTCTTTCTTCCTCAGTATGTCATCTATGTTGGGAGTCAAGCTGCTCTGGAAGGCCTCGGTGCCGCCGAAGGTCAAGCTCTTCTTCTGGCTGGCCCTGCATGGCCGTATCTGGACGGCGGAACGCAGAATGAGGCATGGACTTCAGGACTCAGCTGAATGTGCCCTCTGTGGTCAGGAAGATGAGATGGTCGCCCACCTCCTTGTTTCTTTTGTCTTCGCAAGGGAGCTCTGATACCGTTTCCTGCGTCCCATCGGTTGGGAAAGGATCACGCCGCAGCTAGGGGCGGTGATCTCCGCTTGTTGGATGGATGTGAGATGTCTTGTGCCGAGACCGATGTGCAAGGGGTTCGACGCGGCAGTTCTCCTTCTCTCTTGGCGCCTTTGGAAGGAGCGTAACTCTCGCTTCTTCGACAACGCGCACAGCTCAGTGGTTCAGGCAGCACGGGGGTGCTCGAGGAGGGTGACCAGTGGGTTGCGGCTGGCTTCATGGCGCTCTCGGTGTTCGTGGTGGCTGCGACTACGCCCTAGTATCCCTCCTCCCCATTCTCTTGTCGCAAAATTTGTTCCCCATGTAGTCCTTTGAGAGTAGTGAGGATATACCGGTATGTCCAGCACCAGGCCGGCACAACATATACTACGTCTCTCTCTCTCTATATATATATATATATATATATATATATATATATATATATATATATATATATATCTCTCTCTCTTGGAATTATCTATCTCTGTATATATATATATATATATATATATATATATATATATATATATATATATATATATAGCTTTCAGGGAATTTAATTAAGGTTGGAATTATCATATTGCCTCTGAAGCTTATGCGGATAAGCAGAAACGGCATGTGTTTTCAGATGGCTGCCCATGGAACGGAGCTACGGAAGGATTAAACACCACTGAAAATGGATTCCAGACGTGTGCGTACACCACGAACTAACGGACTCAACTTTTATTCAATCGGCACACACCATGGCATCATCATGACAGACACACACACACACACACACACACGCACCATCCATATTCACACGCGCGCGCACCGTTGCCGGCGGCCGGCGGCGTAAGATCGATGAGAAAGACCCATCACTTGTCGGTGGAGTTGGACTCGGAGAAGAAGCGGTTGAGAGCGGGGAAGACCTCCGGGCGCTGCGTGCTGAGGAAGCGGCGGAAGGCGTGCTGGCTGTAGCGCTGGCCCTCGTCGGCGTTGTCCAGCACGGCGCTCTGGCGGTGGCTCTTGCTCACCCGCACGTCCGGGTTCATCAGCACGTTCCGGGTCAGCTGGAACACGCACATCCCCGTCACGAACGACATGGCCGCGATCAACGGGTACACCTGCGCACATACACAGACAGCATGCAAATGATGTGAGCGCGGCTGGTTCACTGCAGGCGACGTACGATACCGAGAAGCTAAGATCGATGTATGACGAGTGACTGACGCATACGTACATCTGGCTTCAACCAACGGCCCATGTCGATGGATCGGTCGAGTTTGTTGGTGCCTGATCGCTGCTGCAGACTCTGGGACGTGGGATCACTGCTGCTGGTTAGCTGGTGCTGGAACTCTGGAGGTCTCTTTGGCTAGCTAGCTGTTGCTTTTTTGATCTTGTGCTCTGCTATCTGATGATCGATGGATGGCATGCAAATGTGGTTCGCGTGCGTATATATACTACCGCTGTATCGTACTCGGCACAACGTCCAACAAGCCGGCTGGCCCGCGATGCCATGGACAAGGACAGCAAATTGCTTCGAAATGCATTGGTGCCAGACGAGATGCACGGTACGGTTTCCTGTGGGCGACGAGGTGGGTTTCAGCCTTTGATGATGAGCGTGGTGTGTAGGCCGGCCGCTCCCGCTCGGCTGCTGCATGCTGGAGTGCTGGGTGCTGGAGCCGGAAAAACCATGAGCTGCCCGTTGTTTCCCTTCCCCGGCCTTGGTTGTCAAGGTCTCCTCCTCGTCGCGTGCGTGCTCCCGGGCGAGTCAGGTCAACCCCGTCCATTTCAGTTTCCCGCCCCACACGGCCACACGATGACCGTTCCATCGCCGGCGGTCAACTCCACCAGATCGTTCCAGGTTAGCCCCGGCCCGTAACTGTCAGAGGGGTCTGCGTCGCTCAAGCATAGCATCTCTATCTCCGTATTTGGACGACTCCGTCGACTTCGGTGTACGTACACGTGTGGATAACAAATACTCTCTCGTCAGAACAGACTGCTCTTTTCTGGACGTCAAATTGCAAACCGGCCGGTCTGGTCCATGTTCCAGAAACAGCTAGCCGAGGCTTTACCTTTGGTTTTCAGAGAATCTGTGGGAGTAAGTCTGGTTTTGCACATATATAACTGCTGTGCTGTGCTGGATTGCGATCGGGTAACTCTTCGTTTTGGTGTCCATGTCCACGTCCAACTTCCGATGACGGCGCTCACGGCTGGCGTGATGCGCTACGGCGCTGGCCATGCTTGAACATGATGGCTCGTGCAACATATGAGATGAGGACGAAGGTGTGACAGCCTGACACGATAACAATGGATGGGCGTGTTACAGGAAAATACTAATACTCTACTAGTACATACCAATCAGGTTGACGCGCTTCTAATATCACAAGGAAGTATTTATGTCCAAGTGCAATACCACGGGCACGAATTCGTGTTTGGGTTTTCCCGCAGAGATAACGTGTAAAGAGTGTCGTGTTAAAATTTGGGCACACCAGTTTGACGATTTCTTAACAAGGTTGTTTCTGTTTTTTCATTGCCCTCAGGAAAAGTACAGTATTCAGGACACCATGGTGGGCATCTAAAACTGTGTGGATAGCTTTATGTTTTTTCTTTTTTCTTTTGAAAAAAAATCGCCTTATATTGACATATAAAATTCGTGGAATCAAATAGGGAGGAATGAAGAACAGAGTTTTTAGCTCCCCAATTTGAAGTCATTATTATGGTATGATTTTCTACTAGAACTAGTAGAATATATATATTGGGCTAAAACTCCAGATCCACGCCCTGACTAGCCTTTGCCCAGCCCAAAACATGAGCCTTCAACAGGCCATAATTCATTGGGCTACTGTGGATGATCCCCCGCCTCGGCCCAACGGCACGCTAAGGTCGCCGCCGCCTCGCCGGCGCCGCCACAAAAATCTCCCACCGCCTGTTGCCCTGTCCGGCTGTCCGCACGACGTGGTGCCGGTAACCATACGACCTAACGGTCAATGACACTAGACCCCACGATTCATGGGACCCACCTGCAGAGAGAGAGTTCGGTCACAACATAACCCAATAAATAGGACAAGGAGCGCTCAGCACCCGGTGATCTAAAAGCCATTTCTCCACGCTTTTGGCTGCGCATCGCTTCTTCCCCCATTTCGCCCAACTTCCTTCCCACGCCAGGGCCCGAGCTCCGAGCTAGGGTTTCCTCTCTCGCCGCCGCCGACGGGAGAGGAGGAGGAGGAGGAGGAGGAGTAGGCGAAGCCGAGTTAGTAGCGCCAGGAGAGGAGCATGGGGACGCCGGAGACGTCGCGGGAGCCGTGCCCGGACCGGATCCTGGACGACGTCGGCGGCGCGTTCGGGATGGGCGCCGTCGGGGGCTCCGCCTTCCACTTCATCAAGGGCATCTACAACTCCCCCAACGGGATGCGCCTCTCCGGGGGCGCGCAGGCCGTGCGCATGAACGCGCCGCGCGTGGGGGGCAGCTTCGCCGTCTGGGGCGGCCTCTTCTCCACCTTCGACTGCGCCATGGTGTACGCGCGCCAGAAGGAGGACCCCTGGAACTCCATCGTCGCGGGCGCCGCCACGGGCGGGTTCCTCTCCATGCGCCAGGGCATGGGCGCCGCGGGCCGCTCCGCGCTCATGGGCGGGATCCTCCTGGCCCTCATCGAGGGCGCTGGCCTCATGCTCAATCGCGTCATCGCCAACCCGCCGCTGCCCGCCGACGACCCCAACCTTACGGCGGCCATGGGCGGCAACCCTTTCCCGGGCCTGCCGCAGGCGCCGCCGGTCGTGGCACCTCCGGAAGCGGCGAGCTCCAGCGGCGCGGGTGGGTGGTTCGGGGGACTGTTTGGCAGGAAGGAGGAGGAGAAGAAACCCAGCGCGGGCGGGGGCAAGTCGGAGATCTTGGAGAGCTTCGACACGCCCAGCACTCCGATACCATCGTTCGAGTACAAGTGAGGAAAAAAAGGTGCGATTTTTACTTGATGTAGTTAATTATTACTGTTCTGTTCGGATTTAGAAAAGGTGCGAATATATTCGATTATTGGGTTCCTGTTTGCTGTTTCCCCCATTTTTGTTTGGCCCGTTGGGGATTAGGACTCTTGTTCTTGCTGTGGAAGTTAGAAATTGGTTGGGTTCGGCAACTGTTTAGTTTCTTATGCTAGGAGTCGCGATCGTTTTGTTACAAAATATCCGCACCGGATCCAACTAGAGATTGTTATCGCTTCCTATTAGAAGAACGTGATTGGTCTGGTTGTCCTATATATATTCTGTTCCGGTGAGTTTGGATCTGTATGTAGTAGAATAGAAGGGACACCAGAGATTTCCTTTTTGTCGACCCTTTGCCTGAGTTCTAGTTTTGCTCCTCCATCGACTAGGAGCAGACCTTCACATGGGAACTATTCACATGAACCAGCCAGCAGAACTTCTCTTTCACATAAACGAACCAGCAACGATACGAACCAGCCAACCGAACTGGCTGAGATAGGGACTGTCATGTCCAGGCCGCATCCTCACCGATACAGGTTCTGTGTTTGCCGTTGGTGCTGTTGGGGGTTCTTTCTACCACTTTGTCAAGGGTCTCCGCAATGCACCTACTGGTGCACGATTTACTGGTGGCCTGGAGGCTGTGCGCATGAATGCGCCACGTATTGGTAGCAGCTTTGCTGTTTGGGGAGGTCTGTACTCAGTATGTGATTGTACCTTCATGTATGTGCGTCAGAAGGAGGATCCCTGGAACTCAGTTCTTTCTGGTGCGGCCACTGGTGGCATCCTTTCTTTGCGTCAGGGATTTCGCTCAGTCATTCGTTCATCCATGCATGGTGCAGTTTTCTTTGCTCTCGTAAATGGAGCTATTATCATGGCGCAACGCTCTCAACCTGATCCTCTATCTATGCCAGTTGATGTTCCAGCTGTCACCCCTGTGGAGATGTCTTCTTTATCTATGCCAGTTGATGCTGAAGCAATCACACCTGTGGAGACATTTGAAAAGGAAAGTGGAAGAGGGAGTCACAAATAGAAATAACGGCAGCGAGACTGGTACTTCAGTGACTTATTAGAAGGAGCCCAGCATGGCAGTGCCATCGTTTGAGTATAAGTAGATCCATTGATGGACATGGGATTTTTCTCAGCTGCCAGGGTTTATTGGCTCATTGCCCTTTTGTTGCTGTTCCTTTTTTTAAAGTGTGTACCTGGATTTGTATTGGATTATCGTTTTTTTATTTATTAACCTACTAGTTTCGAAATCAAGGACAGTGTCAGGGAAGGTAGAATGATAATAGTTTCTTGTTATATGAATTCAATTCAGGTCATTTCATGATGTGAAGGATCAAGATCCAGATTTCACTTCTTTGTAGTTTCTTTTCACTTTCTGCGTGCTCTGTGGGATGCTGTTCTGGTGCTGCTAGCTTGTTTACCTTTTACTTTCTTGCATCCATGTTGATGTTTTAGGAATTCTTTTATGTGATGACTCACATGGTGAATGAATCGGTAGATACCAGCTGTGAGGAGCAGGTTAGTTCCATGAGAATCCTAGTGTAAAAAAAAAACTTGACCCGCGGGGGGTAAGACAACCCCCGGGCATTGTGCTTAAGAAGAAACCTTCTCACGTAGGTCGAGAAAACCCCTCGAACCCCTACCCCACCCATACACAGCGGCACCGCAGCTCCCGTGAGATTGGGCTGGCCTTAGACCTGTGCTTTGGCGTGGGGTAGCAGAGTGCTTTGGCGTGGGGTAGCAGCTAGCCAACTGGACTAGCGCTCGCTTGCTAAGAATCCTAGTGTATAACATCTGCAACTTTTGCTAGACTGTTATTGATCACAAACAAGTCTATTAGTTATGTATAAGCTACAAAGATAGGTGAGGCATGATTTTCTGATCAATTAGTTTGCCCTATAATCATTTGTGTGATCCTTTACTTCTCCCTTCGGAGTCAGAATGCAAATGCAAAATGAGAAGTTTCTTTTGATTTCATAAGTGTAGTTGTGCAAGAATTGGAAGGGCGGGCCTGGTGCAAGCGGTAGAGTCTTACCGCCTGTGATCGGAAGGTCCCGGGTTCGAGTCGCGGTCTCCTCGCATTGCACAGGCGAGGGTAAGGCTTGCCACTGACACCCTTCCCCAGACCCCGCACAGAGCGGGAGCTCTCTGCACTGGGCACGCCCTTTAGCTATGCAAGAATAGCTGGCCTGGTTTCCAAAAGAAATGGATTGAAAAAGTTAAGGTTACCTTGCTTGTAACTAAACGATAATTTATATAGAGGTCCATTTGTATTAAGATCAACTGAATAAGCGATGTAAGTTTGGTTTGAAATCTTAACATTTTATATATAGGTCCATTTATTACAATTGTTGAGCCAGCGTTTCGAAATATTAACACTTTATAACTAATTGTAAGTTTGGTTTGGTTTTTAGTAGTTTGATGAAAAGTTACTTGTTAGGATTTAGGAACATGTCTAAGTTCTTGTTCTTGAACTGTACTTCTTGGTATTGCATTGCCGCCTTTGAAACTCCATGAAAAATGCTTTTAATCACATGCTGCCGAAGGAGGTTACTGAAATAGACTGAATTCTGTATGTGGTGGTGGGATTTTCTTTCAGTAGATCTGCCACTGCAACAGCCAACTCAATTGCTTTGCTTGTCAGAGATCTGAAAGTGCTCAGCTGGAAGTTCAGAATTTCCAGGCCTTGGGTTACCAATTATTTGCCTGGATTCAGGCTGATGTTCTGAAACTAGCGGTATTTCTGTTAGATACAAGATTGATCATGTGGTTTGCTTCTGCTTGTTTTATTCGAATCAAACTCTTGTGTTGCGGTTTTCATGGTTAATTATCCGTTCTACATCACTGATGACATGCTAGGTACTAATAGATGTTCCTGTATACTATTGTCTTGTTTTTGCACACTTGGATTGTTAACCAACACTGATCCATAGCTCTTCATGTACTAAGATGTTTTAAATTTGCAGGTTGGCTGATGCCACTATTGCTTACTTGGTCTTGCAATGTGGTGGTGGTCTGGAATTGGTGATGCATGCCAGCAATACAATAACCGACAGGACAAGAGATGGATTGTTCGATAACTTATTCCTGTGCTGCTCTGCCTCGACCGGCTCATATCTATGCGCCCGCTTGTGTATGTATAAGCCTTTTTCAAAACGTGGCAGATTGGCTACTTGAGATGTAGTTTTTGTAGAAGCAAACAGCAGTAGTATACCGCCTCTATTATAGCATTCGTGTTGTGTGCAATGTAATGCACTTTTTTTTTTTTTTTTTATTAGTTGATTGAGTTCAACTGCGCCAAGTCTTGCCGGTCTATGTTTTGTTGTCAAGTGCTAGTTTCGAGTCGTAAGGGTCCTCACGATTTGCTGTGCTGTTAAGGTTTCGACGTCTGAGATGTACTGATGTACTGTACCTGTGTGGCTGTTATGCGTGGTCTTGTGAACTGCTACTGTCGGCAGGGCAGGGATGTTTGGTGCTGCGATTAGGTTGGTATGTAAACTGCCCATCTTGGTGTGTAAGCTAAACGACTAACGACTCCAAAATTGGGCAGTTCTGCTGAGAGCAACATGCGCTTCAGCCTTCAGGATCGTTTCAACTTCCAAGATAAACACGAATACTGGACATCGAAACTCGTGACCTCCGATTTAGTGGTCATGTATCAGCTGGTCTCATCAGCGAAACTTGCCATCCAGAAATATGCACATGATCACCGGTTCGCCACAACTTCATTTTTTTTTTGGCTAAAAACCGCAAATGCGCGCTTGGACACTAGTTCACCAGAACGCTTGGACACTACTAGTTCACCACAACTTCGTTTTGGGAAAAACGATACTGTACCAATTTGGAGACTCAGCACACATGCCGGCGATCATGAGATCGAGCGGCGACAGCGGCCGCGCACCGGACAGAGGGCAAGCAAAGAAAGCCCAGGTGTTTGGGCGTCGCGATCCACGACCCGAACGCGGCCGTTGCGATGGCAATCGCTCCCTGCCTTTTCGTTTTTCCTCCTGCTCCCACTACAACTGAACTCCTCAGGCCTCAGGTGCACGGGACACGAGCGCGGTATGTATTGTGTATGATCACCAACCACGTTGCTTCGGCGGGGAGAAACTACGGCGCAAGCAACCCCAGGCCGCTGCGCGCACGAGCAATCCACCGGTAGAGACTAGAGAGTCGAGGAGGCAGCCACCAGTAGTCTAGCCGCGCTCGTACGCGTCGTGCGTCACAGCGCCCGGGGTTCGGTCGATCAGTTACCGAGACGGAACCCAACCAACGGTGGCAGGAGGCAGAGAGGTTGGTGGCGCCTTGCCATCGCGGCCGGCGCCGCCGTTGGCTGTCAAGCAAGCAAGCGTTCCTGCTCTGCGGAAGCGGAACCCGTGCGCTTTCTTTGCGTTAAAGGCCCGTGCGTGTCCGTGCCGCTACTCAGCCCAATGCACAACGCCCCGATACTGCTAGCTAGTGCTAGTGCAGGCGCGGTGGTGTTCTCGTTGCGCGCCCGTCCGTTGCGTTCGTTGCGCGCTCGCCGGCAGCCATGGAGCCCCGCTGCTCCCTGCTGCTCCTGGCCCTCGCCGCCATGCTCTCCGTCGCAGGTCGGTTCCTGGCATGTCGCCCTCTCTCGCGTGTTGTCTGTTGATGAAACTAATCAAGCGTCTGTCTTTTCGTTCTTTGGCAGTCGCTTACGACCCGTTGGACCCGAACGGGAACATTACCATCAAATGGGACATCATGTCGTGGACGCCTGACGGCTATGTCGTGAGTACTCACATCGATCACTTGCCTTCTTCTCTTCGTGCATGCTCGACTGGTTGCATTGATCGGTTACTGACTAACGAATGGCGGGCAACGTTGCACTGCATGCAATGCAGGCGGTGGTGACCATCAACAACTTCCAGATGTACCGGCAGATCATGGCGCCGGGGTGGACGGTGGGGTGGACGTGGGCGAAACGGGAGGTGATCTGGTCCATGCTGGGCGCGCAGGCCACGGAGCAGGGCGACTGCTCCCGATTCAAGGCCAACATCCCGCACTGCTGCAAGCGCACCCCGACCGTCGTCGACCTGCTCCCCGGCGTGCCCTACAACCAGCAGATCGCCAACTGCTGCCGCGGCGGCGTCATCAGCGCCTACGGCCAGGACCCGGCCGCCGCCGTCTCCGCATTCCAGGTCAGCGTCGGCCAGGCCGGCACCACCAACCGCACCGTCAAGGTGCCCAAGAACTTCACGCTGCTTGGGCCGGGGCCAGGGTACACCTGCGGTCCCGCCAAGGTCGTCCCGTCCACCGTCTTCCTCACGCCCGACCGCCGACGCAAGACACAAGCCCTCAGTGCGTTCGCGTTCGCCCTTCTCCTTCTCGTTCTCCTATATATGGCGTGGCTGGGTTTGGGCTGACGACATATATGGCGATCGATGCTTGCATGCAGTGACGTGGAACGTGACGTGCACCTACTCGCAGCACCTGGCGTCCAAGTACCCGTCCTGCTGCGTCTCCTTCTCCTCCTTCTACAACGACACCATCGTGCCCTGCGCTAAGTGCGCCTGCGGCTGCGAGCACAAGACCTGCGTCCTGTACGTCTCGATCGGCCATCCATCTCCAGCCCTGCGCGGCCGCCTCGCCATCGTCGGTTCTAGTTCTAACGACGTGCGCGCGCGTGCATGTGCAGGGGCGACTCGAAGCGGCTGGCGGTGACGGGGAAGCACGAGCACGCGCACGCGGCGGCGGCGCGCGGGCACCGGGACAAGGAGGCGCCGTTGCTGCAGTGCACGACGCACATGTGCCCCGTGCGCGTGCACTGGCACGTCAAGCTCAACTACAAGGAGTACTGGCGAGCCAAGATCGCCATCACCAACTTCAACTACCACATGAACTACACGCAGTGGACGCTCGTCGCGCAGCACCCCAACCTCAACAACATCACCGAGGTCTTCAGCTTCGACTACAAGCCTGTCGTCGCCTATGGATCCATCAGTAATTCTCTTCTCTTCTCTCTCCGTGCTCGATCACCGTCTCCTCAGCTCACCATGCATGTGCCGATGGATGCCTATGCAATGTGCTCAATCTAGACAACACATTGATGCGATTGTTCTCGCTCGTGTACGTGCAGATGACACGGCGATGTTCTACGGGCTCAAGTACTTCAACGACCACCTGATGCAGGCGGGGCCGTACGGGAACGTGCAGTCGGAGGTGCTGATGCGCAAGGACGCTAGCACCTTCACCTTCAGGCAGGGCTGGGCGTTCCCGCGCAAGGTCTACTTCAACGGCGACGAGTGCCAGATGCCGCCGCCGGACGCCTATCCCTACTTGCCCAACTCAGCCCTGCCGGCAGCCGCGGCGTCGTCGCTGGGCGCTGCGGTAGCGGCCGTCGTGGTGCTCTTGGTGATGATCGTGGCATGAGAGAAACACGGGAGATCGATCAGCCTAGTGCTAGAACCGGCAGAGAGAGAGAGAGAGAGAGATGGAAAAAGGCGTTGGTTTGATTTGTAGATAGAGGCATCGATTTGTGTTTCAGGAATGGTTTGGATGCTTTTCTTCCAGTAGATGGACAAAGCCATGAGCATGATTTTGGAACGGAAATTAATATGTGCATCTCTCCATACATCATGTGCAGCCAACCCTTCACAATGGAGACTTGTTTAGGCATTTAGAAACGGACGTTCCCACGAAAACAACGCCGCCGCTCCTAGGTCCTCGCCCCCGCCCAGGGCCCTCATCTTCTTCCTCTCCGGTGCATCTGCCGGAGATAAGGAGAGGAGACTCATCTCTCTTTTCCGCAGTTTTGTATCCATTTTGTTTAGGGTCTAGCCAAATAAATCTACTGACGAAATCAGATAATTTTTTGTCGCGATCATATTTTCTGCTATGACTTCGGTGATTGCGACGACGGGATCGCCGTTGCAGGTGTTGATTTCATCGGCATGGGCCAATTTGTGGCCTCTATCTGTAAGGGGAGGGGTGCTTCTGGAAGCCCCCTACGAGGACAACGACTCCGGGTCATTAATCTCGTCGTCTATGGTCGCGGAGAGGATTTCAAGGTATCAAGGTGATGAATCTGCACCTTATGTCGTACCCAACGATGCAACTGCCGATATTTTTTCAGCGATTTAGATGCGCTTTGGACTGGTTCCGAAGCATTGGATCTTGCGGCATGTCCAATATTTTGAGGTTGATCGTTGAATTCGATGTAAGGACTGCAGTTTAGCTCTAGCATTCGAGAGAAGCCATTGGGGGAAGAAGATGATGGAAGAATCTAGATAGATTATTATATATTTTTTATTTTAGATTTTTTTCATATATAATTTGGGGATGTACCATGCCAAAATTTAACATAAGTCTCCCTTCCCTTCGAAAAAAAATCTTCACAATGCCTCTCTATAAGCTTCTTGCAACTAGGGATGCAAGTTAGATGGTCAGCGAACCATAAATAACCTTAATTTTTATGGATGATCCACCGACCTTTGAGGTTCTATATCGAATCATATGGAGATACTATTACACCATGTTTCACACAACAGCTACAATAAAATATGCCAAAATATGACCAGCCACTGCCATTAAGGCATGGATCATACTAAGCTAAAAAATTTGGCCAATTAAAACTTAATTGCGCATAGTACCATCGGATGATCTACCATTTTGCCACCATAACATACGGTGGACACTATTTTTTTCATATAATTTCTACTTGGGGTGTGGGGGGGGGGGGGGGGGGCAGAATCCCCCACCTAGACATATTTCTAGGTGAACTCTACTAAGGTAGACTGAACATTCAATAGGACACATTGCCACAGGATGATCCACCAGGATCAACATAGGCACTGTCAAATCATAGTGGGACTTGATAACCTAGCTAAGTTAAAGTTGCCCTCGAACAAATCTATCGGTAGTGTGTTGTATAATTTGGCGAGATTTCTTAGTGCATTTTAAATCCGATCTCATTTTTTTTTTCAGATCCTAGACTTACACATCTTTTAGAGCCACTTGTGAGCTGACTTGATAGGAGTATGTCATAAGTGTGCATTGACACTCAAAATTTCCATCAAGCTACTAGTCTCTCTCGACACCACTCTTAAAAGTACAACCAATGATAAAAGATGACCTAACACTACGTTCAATTACCTCCCAACACCAAATTAAGCACTTGAACACTAAAATGTCATTAATCTTCACAAATATCGTTGTGTACATGAAAGGATCGAGATATCACCTAGAGGGTTAGGGTGTGAATACTGAATAGGTATTCCTAAAATTTATAGAATTTGCAAAAATATTAAAAGTACAGTACCGAGGCCTGGTCTGGACCGGAGATCTTGTTTTATCCGGGATCTAGTTTGACCGGAGGTTAAAACACCTACAAGACCTAAAAATTTGACCAATGATCGGGTGGATATGTCTTCCCTACTTTTCTTCACTCAAGTATGCACAAATAGATAGATCGGGTGAAGGTTTTACAAGTTAACATGAACTAGCTCAAGAACAACAAGAACACATGAGATACGAGATTTAACTCGATGTTCGGCCAATCCACAAAGGAGATCATACATCATTGTTGCTGAGGAAGCCAACGAGACTTAGTATGTCTTTTTCAACCCTATCATCTTCTCAAGCGAATCACAAAGTTCAAGCTTGAGGTTCTTACAAGTTTCGCCATGATAATTATTGTTGAAAATTGACCTAGCCACGGATTTTCAGATTTGTCTTTCTGTTTCCGATCCAAAAAAAAGACGTGTAGGAGTTGTAGATAAATCTCGTTTACCTTGTATCACATAAGAGGAGACAAGTATTGGAGGGAGGTTATCTCTTCATTCGGTATTATAAATATCCATATAGTCCCTTTATATAAATGTAGCTTTGAGCCTTCAGATCATATATGGTACGAGCATATCAATCCTCTAACTGAGAAATTAATAATTATATGGTCAAAATTCGAGAACATTACTAGTTTATATCAAACATAGGGGGGCCAGGCCCCCTTACCCCCTCCTTTTGACCGTGGGGTGTCAGAGCATCTCCAAGATTGAAAAAAAAACTGCACTCCAACAACTCCTTATCTCAACTCTCAATCTTTCCGCACTTTGGAAACGTTGATTTAATAGTGTGCAAATATATGTGCGAGGTGGAAGGACGTGAGGAAGATTAAGAGTTTATTTCTCACTAAAGATGACCTAAACTGAAGTCTGATATATGTAGAACGTATCTTTAGTCCATATCCTGTTTTTTATTATTAGTAGTAATTGAAAAATAAATAAACATTATTATTAAACATAAAAGGGTCCTTATCGAAGGTATATAGGCATACTCGAACTGTTCATATGCATCCACAGCCTTTTTATTTGTGCCACTGCCCGACTGCCGGTCGTATTTGAGCATGAATCTCTGCATGATGTGGAAGGAAACGGATTATTTCTATTATTGTCACTTGCTAGTCAGTCTTTGCCGAAATTTACAAGTATTGGGAATGTACATGCTTCGGTACGTGACTGCACATCTGAATCTGTTCCTCGATCAGGACACCATATAAGACTTTGCAATAAACTAATGATCAGAAGCAGGCAACAACACCGAATCAGGTGCAGGTCAAAACTTCTTTATGAAACAGATTCACAACACCTATACCTCACAACGCATGGGTCATCAGGAGGATTGCAATTGCTATCCAAGCTGCAACGACCGGGAGGAGAAGCGAAGCCGACAGCCGGGGAGAGGCGTTGGGCAGCCACGGGTAGGCGTCAGGCGGCGGCATCACGCAGTTGTCGCCATTGAAGTAGACTCGTCTCGGGAAGGCCCAGCCTTTCTGGAAGGTGAACGTGGAGGGCTCCTTCCGGAACAGAAGCTCAGACTGCACATTCCCGTCTGGCCCGGCCGTCATGAGCAGATCGTTGTAGTACTTGATGCCCCATAACATCGCCGTGTCGTCTGCAAAAGCGTAGTAAGCGTCAATGTCTGACAAAAAAAATAAAAATAGGAGTAGTGTTTTCAAAAAAAAAAAAACTAGGAGTAGATTGCAAATGCAAGATTGAGTTTCTTTAGGGGGTGAATGAAGTTCAGGTGCTCACTTATTACTCCATAGGGGTTCAGAGGTTTGTAGTTGAAGCTGAAAATGGTGGTCAGATTGTCAAAGTTGGGGTGCTGCGCAACGAGGTTCCACTGCGAGTAGTTCATCCGGTAATTGAAGTTTGTAACCGTGATCTTTACCCTCCAGTACTCCTTGTAGTTCACCTTGACATGCCAATGCACTCTTATTGGGCACATGTGTGAAGTGCATTGGACTAGAGGCGCCAAGCTGTTCTTATTAGGGTCGTTCACGACAGAAGCCAGGTAAGGTGAATTGCCCCTGTCCAAGGACAACACATCCAACCTTCACATAACTGAAAAAAATGAAAATGGTATGTGAGTTTTCTTGATGTGACTTACTCTACACAGCTTCCTGGTGCAGTGCTGTTGTTCTGGCAGCCACAGGAGCATGTTGGGCAATTGACAATGGTGTCGTTGTAAAACGATGAGAGCGACACACAGCAGGTTGGAGATCTTTGAGCAAGAAACTGCGAGTACGTACATGTCACATTCCATGTCACTGCACAAAGAAAACAAGTCGTCAATTGCTGCTAAAAACTAACAAGTGTTGAAACAGAAATTTACTGAGAACAATTAACTGGAGTGGAGATTTATTCATGGTATTTTTTTTCTTTTTTCTGTACGTGCAGAATAACTGGGCCATGAAAAGAAGATCTTACTGTGTGCTTGAGTTGATCTCCTCCCATCCTGAGATATGAACTTAGTAGGTTTCACTAGTTTGGCAGTTCCACAGGTGTACCCGGGACCAGGTGCCTTGAGAGTGAAGTTCTTGGGCACTTTGACTGTTCTGTTGGTAGTCCCAGCCTGTCCAACGCTGACTTGGAATGATGCCACGGCATTGTTAGGGTCCTGTGCCCATGACGTGAGGACTCCTCCCTTGCAGCAGTTGGCAATCTGCATGTTGTAGGGAGTCCCAGGCAGCAAGTCCACAACCTCAGGGTCCTTTCTGCAGCAATGGGGAATGTTGGTTTTGAATTTGGAGCAGTCGCCTTGTTCAGTGGCCTGGCCGCCGGTCATCGCCCAGATTATCTCCTTCTTTGCCCATACCCAGCCTAGTTTCCAGCCCGGCGCCTGAATGTGGCGGTGCTGCTGGTAATTGTATAGTGAAACAACAGCCTGGATGAAAGGGGATTTCAGAAGGTGTCAGATAGTGGCAACGCCTGTGAAGTGAGAACTGGGGAAATCAAAATGATGATGGTGATACCAGGGTACTCTAGGTAAATAAGATGACCTTTTCAGCTGTCAGTGTCACAATTGCAAAATGCATGTCGTCAACACAATTTTTTAAACTCATCATAAGAAAAAAAGAAATGGTAAATAACAGACAAGATTAGCCATGTCTAGTTTGGAATGCAACAGAGAGACAAGCATCGGGTATTAATTAGCTAATCAAACTGCACAAAATCAGTACATCTGTTAACAAGATATATTTCCAATTACTAGTTCTAAGCTTGCAAAAAGAAGTCCTGGCACTATGTTCGTCATGATATCCTTCATCTACAGGCTGCAGCCTTGATTGATATTCAGTTACGCCCATGTAAGCATATAACAGAGGACATGGCAATATAACAGAGGACATGGTTTCCTGAAGCAAAAGAATGACAGAGAAAGCAGAATACTGCCAACAAGACTCGAGACAAAGACGCGATAACTGGAGTACACGAAAAGTCTTGTAGAATAATCTTGTCCACTTCTGAAAGAACTATGGGAGCGTATGCAGACTTTTGTAACAATAGCGATATGCACTCGAATTTTTTTTCAATGATGGTATCATGGTATAAGCAGCTTCAAACACACATTAGTCGTTTACTCACCACATATCCATCTGAAGTCCACTGTATTACATCCCACTTAATTGTTATGTTCCCATTCGGATCAAGCGGATCGTATGCATCTGCAGATTACCATGGAAAGTTCCATGAAACATGGTACTACTAGCTCCAAATTGGAGATGTTACTGTAGCACACGTACAGGAAATCGTGATAGAACCATAACGATAACAAAAACACAACAAATTACAGCTAGAAGAGCTTGGTTATAATTCAAACAAAACAGAACTACAGGTGTTGGAAATTGATAGTTTGAAACATGGGAGTAACATATTGGTAGGTAGCAGACTGAACTGAAAGAACTGTACAGTCAGCTGTTTCAGTGGTCAGTCAGATTAGCGCTAAAAACAACTTGAGTTCACACCAGTAATTTAGTAAGGTTCATTTACATATCAAGTGAAGGTCACGGTTTTTTTATTTAACATAAAAGGAGATCACACATCTAGCATGATATCATCCGTAAGGCCGTTTTTTTTTTGGCTAGGAATTCTAACATAAAGTATGGAGTATGGACCCATACCCATACCTTATTTACCGGCCAAACAATGATCATGGCATTGGCATAGGCTAGTACTATGAAATTACGAAAAGCGCAAAAACAACCGAATTCTCTTTGTTTTATGTGCGATTGAGATTATATGAGGGAAATGTCTGAACATTATAATCCAATGAGGAGATGGCAGTGATGTGTTAAAAAATTGAAAACTTTTGAGCGGTGGGTGTTAGCCAGTGTTAGGAGATGAGTTAGGCCGCTAACATATTGTTCTGAGGTGGAAGAGACGAAGAGTACCATTATCGACAAAAGGAATGTTCGACGGATGTATAAGTTTGATGTCATCTGCTGTTCGATCGATCGTTGATCTCAAAGAAACTAGCACTACTTCTGAAAAAAAGTACTGTAGCACGCGCGTAAATAAATGAGGTGAAGTGCGATTGGCACAACTGAACTGACGAATCTCAGAAACCCAAGAAACCCGATGCCAAAACATGCCATTCCAAGCAATGCCAAAATCAACTGGTGTTTGCTGCGCACTGACCTGACGGACGCATTAGAGAGGAGAAGGCGACGACGAGCAGGAGCGCGACGGAGGAGGCGAAGCGCAGGGGCAGGAGCGCCGCCGGCCGCGGTGTCGCCATGGCTCGGCCCGGCAGAGGTCGATAAGGAACCAGCGCGCGGGCGCAGCCCCCCGACCACTCTCTTCAGTATTGTCCGCTATGCGCGAAGGAATGGGATGGGAACGCAACAGCCAAAGTTCGGACCGAGGATGAGTGGGCGGGTCAGAGAGTCCGGCTGGTCACCTAGTTCATGCGATGGCGATGTGAGATTTCTGGCGGGCGGGCGGGCGGGCGCGCCGTGTCTGGCCGGGATGCAGATATATGCATGCAAGACAGGTTCGAGCTATTCTTGTGGGTGTGGCGTGTGCGATGGCATCGGTCGATGAAGCTTTCCTTTTCCTTTTTGTTTTCCTTCTACTAGGGGAGTGCAAACTGGAACGCAAAAGCTAGCTAGCTCCAAGTGCCAGGCGCCAGCTGTCTCCCCCTTTCGTTCATTTCTGTATTTTTTGACCTGGGTTTTAAGAAAGCGGACGTGAGTGAGGCACCACGTCCACGTGCACACGAAAACGTGTGCTCCTGCTACTTCCGTCTTTGCCTTTTGCATGCCGTTCTACTGCTAATCGATAAATTCAGGCAGATTACTGCTGACGTTAAGCGTGCGTTTGGCCTGCAGTGCAGGCCTTCCGGGTTAAGGTTATTCGTCTGACCTGATAGAGTGTCAAAAGGGACCTATCCCTGTCATGTTGGTAGGTTCTCACAGACTCGATCACAGCGCTCCGCTAGCTCACTCCAATTTAAGTACCCATCACCTTTTTTATGTGACAAAAGTCAATTTTACTAGTGCCGGCCTCTCGAGTCTGATGCGCGTAATCTTTTCCTGGTGACGGTCAGGCTAGGCGGGCCTGTGGCTAGGTCAGGTCCTCTGTAGGATATTGCACGCAACTAGGTAGCTGCATTTTCTTGGCCGCCCTGTGGTCCGTGGAAAACCGAATGAAGGACGGCACCCTGTGGCTTATGGTTATGGACGAATAGTACTGGAGCGCGATTGCGTAGACTTTGACATAAATAATAATGATACTGCGATAGGAAAAGTTCAGATTAGTGTCGCGATGATTTTGCAGCCTGTTCGCTTGCTCGTAAACGATCGTAAATTTTCAGCCAGGAACAGTGTTTTTCTCTCACACCAAACCAACCAGCAGTAGATAATCCACGATACAATACGGCCTCCCGAACATGCTGTTCGCTGACGGCGGGAAGAGGCCGGAAGGTTCCGGACGAAACCCGGCGCCGCCTCACGCGCATGCGATGCAATGCAGTGCAGGACGGGCGACAGGCCACATGCAACAGCCAGGACCGGCGGCGACCAGGCGAGTGGCGACGCAACGCAACCATCGTCCCCAAGGAACATCAACCCGCGCAGCGGAGCGAGACGAGACTAGTACGAGCACTGCAAGCGTGGCTTCGAGAAGGAACACACGAGACGACAGCTTGCAGCCGGTGGCCGCGCCGGAACGGATGGTGTGACCCGGGGACCGGGGCTCAAGGCAGGCAGGCGGGCGGCGCGCAAAGCAAAACAGCACGTCCCGTCCCGTGTGCCACAAGCTCTCCGTTCCATGGGCTCTGTGCCAGTGCAAACAAACAATCAAACAAACAAACTGTTGGCGCGCGCGCGGTCTCGGTCTCGGTCTCCTGTCACACAGTGGTAGCCTGCTGTCACGGTCTTGCCTGCATTGGGCTCCACTGCAACCGAAAGCTCGCTCGTTCGCCGCGTTGCGCGCGCGCGCGCCCCTGCCCCTCTCCCCCAGACGCGGCGCGGCTTTGGTCAAGCGGGAGGGCCGGCGCACGGATACGCAGGTGCGTTTGGTGGGTGTCTAACCCATAGCCTGGTTCCCAGAGATAGTCTTGGTCTGTTTGGTTGGTTGGAAATGGGTTAGGGCCTAGCTAAGCCTGGCCAGCTGTACTCATCAAGCCTGGCTAGGGTTGAAGATCCGAATCGGCCGTTTTTGTGCAGCCTGGCCCGAGCCGGCGCTTGATACTCATATGGGCCACCTCCTGGTGCCGTGCGCTCGAGCGGGGAGGACGATGCACGGCCACCACTCCCGCCGGCCACCATGCGTGCGGTGAAGATCGAGGCCGCCACTATCGGAATCCTCAAATTCGCCGAGTGTTTGTATGTTTGCCGAGTGTATTCCCTCGGGCACTCGACGAACAGGTTCTTTGCCGAGTGTTAAAGAAAAAACACTCGGCAAACAAAAACACTCGGCAAAGATTGGGTTTGCCGAGTGTCAAAAGAAAAACACTCGGCAAAGATAAAGTTTGCCGAGTGTAAAAAAACACTCGGCAAAGAAATAAAATATTTTTTCTGGAAAAGAAGGAAAAGAAAAAAAAACTTTGCCGAGTGCTCAGATCTAGAACACTCGGCAAAAAAATAAAAAAAAAATCTAGAAAAGAATGAGAAAAAAATGAAAAAAATACTTTGCCGAGTGTCCAGATGGGACACTCGGCAAAAAAACAAAATATCTTCTTTAACCCACCCTCCGCACCCGCCCCCAGCGCCCCACCCCCCTCACCTTCTTCCTCGGGCCGCACGCACCCTCCCCCTTGGCGCCCCTCCCCCTCCTCTCCCTCTCTTCCCCGGCGGCGGCCGCCCCCTTCTCTCCCTCTCTTCCCCAGATCCGGCGAGGCCGCCCCCTCCTCTCCCTCTCTTCCCCGGATCCGGCGGCCTCCCCCTCCTCTCCCACTCTTCACTGGTGCGGACCGGCGCGGGGGGCGTGGCCCCTCTCCACTTCGACGTGCTCCAGCAGCAGGCAGCGGCGGCCGGCCGTCCCCTCCCTCACCCCGGCTGGTTTCGGTGGAGGGCGGCTGGATCCGGTGGAGGGCAGCCGGATCCATGGCGGGACCACCCTCCGGCAGCGGATCCTGGGCCGGCGAGGTCGGATCCGGCAGCGGGGAGTCCTGATTCGGTGGCGGGGAGGTGGATCCGGCGGGCGAGGCGGCGCTCCTCCTCCGACGAGTGAGGCGGCGTAGGCGGGTTGCGGCGACGCTCCTCCTTCACCTCTTCGTCAGCTCCAGCGCTGGGGGGCCGGATCCGGTGGCGGGGAGGGCGGATCCGGCGGCGGGGAGGCCGAATCTGGCGAGCTACGGCGGCGGTGGCGTGGTGGTGGTGGCTTGTGGCGGCGGCCGTGAAGCCGGGGAGCGGAGGCGTCTGGGCGTGAAGCTGGGCCGCGGCACAGGGGAAGGGCGCCGCCAAGGAGACCCACGGCGGCCGGCGGAGACCGGCCGGTGGTGGCTTTTTTTTATTTTTCGAAAAAAAATGTTTGCCGAGTGTATTTTGGGCACTCGGCAAAGTCTTTGCCGAGTGTCCGACAAAAAACACTCGGCAAACTAGTGTTTGTCATTAAAGGGATTGCCGAGTGTTTTTGGGGCTTCGTCGAGTGCCCCTGGCACTCGACAAATATCCTGTATCCAGTAGTGCGCGCCGGCCACCCTTTAGCCGGCGCTCCCGAGGCCGTTGTGCTCGCCTCGAGGCATGCCTCACGGACACGTACAAGCCGCCGCCGGAGTTGCCACAATGCGGCGCGGGCAGCGAGGAGCGCAGCCGGTGGTTCCGACTGTGGAGGAACGCTACGGCCATAGACTACCCCGCCATCGCGCCGTGCATCACCGACCAGATCCACGCGTCATCAACGAACCCGCCGCCCGCAACTTCCGCAGTGTGCCCACCGTGGAGACCCGCGTCCTCGACTTCGGCTCTACCGCCAACTTCCTCGCCGACATCAAAGTCGGTGCCTTGTAGTAGCGGCCCACGCGTGCTCGAGGGCGGCGACCTCGCGGCCGGCCCCCGGTGCGCTCGGGCGACCAAGAACGCGATGGCGTGCGACATCGACGGGGGCGGCGACGGCGCGAGCCGGGGAAGAAGGGGGGCGGCCACCATGCTCAACGCCGGTGCCTTTGCACCCACAGGGAGCAAGATAGGGGAAGCGGCGCGCCGCTGTCACGAGCTGGAACCACTCGAGCACGGGCTCCCCGTCGCCATCGCCTCCACTCGCCCCCTCGGCCACCATGGTTGTTATAGATGACCAACGGCCGGGCCAGCTCGGCCCGGCACGGGCCCGATAGGGATCAGGGCGGCATGACATGTCATGCTCCTAGACCGTGCCAAAGTAAGCCTCGTGCCTGGCCGATTTTTGGGCCCGGCTGGCCCAAAAAGCACGGTCCGCGACATGGGTCGGGCCAACCCGCAGCCTGAAACAGGTGAGAGAGAGAGGGAAGGGGAGGGTGCCGCTCGAGCTGGATCCGTAGGAGGAGGCCGACGCCCTCGAGCTAGATCCGGAGGAGGCAAGGATGAGCCGCTCGATGCCTTTGTGCTCGACATCGCCGCGCTGGAAGAGGCGGCTGGTGGAAGCGAGGTCGGCCGGTGGTGCGTGGGGTGATGCGGCTGGAAGAGACGCCTGTGTGCTCGACGGTGTTGAGGAGACGTCGCCGCGAGGGGGTGTGGAGGAGGCGGCCGGTGCGGGGCCGTGACGCACGAGCGGGGCCAGGGGGCGAGAAGTCGCGTGACGCGACTCGCGGCCGCGAGAATCGAGATGGTGTGGGGTGGTGGGGTGCGGGGATATGAGAGTGGGAAATGAAGTTAGGGTTAGGGAAGGGGGTGTGGTAGGTTGTTAGTAGGCTGCAGTAGTCACCGGGCTGATTTTCGTGCCTACCTGTAAATTTCGAGCGGGGCCGTGTCGCCCAGCGTGCCTAAGTAGCGGCCCAAGCACGGCCCTAGGCATCGGGTCGGGCTGTCCCGAGCCCGTGAAACACCATGCCGTGCTGTGTTTGTGCCGGGCCAAAATAGCGGGCTTCGTGCCATCCCAACGGGCTTCGGGCTGCATGGACATCTATAATGGTCGCACATCTTGCCGGATATCGCAGTGGAGCGCAGCATGGGCTCCCCACCGCCATCGCCTCCGCTTGCCCCGGCGTACACCCGCTCGTACATCTTGCCGGACCCCTCGTACATCTTGCTGGGCATGGGCGCGACGGAGATGCTCATCGTCAAAGGGCAGAGCAGCACCACCGCGACGGAGCTCACCACC